TCGTATATATATATACGTATATATACCTATGTATATATATGTATCTGTATATATATGCGTGTGTGTGTGTTTGTACCTGTGCTTGTACCTGTTGTTGTTTTTCTGCCTGTTCTTGTTTTCGTGCTTGTGCGTGTGATTGTGATTGTGTACATATGTATGTATGCGTGAGTTTACTCGCGTAGAACCCGTTCAAGTTGGCCATCTGATGGGATCAAAAGTGCACTGTTTGTGACATAGTCTTGTGAGCTTCGTAGATATCGCTAATTCAAAATCCATCGTTTGGCGGGCTGTATTCAGTTGCTAGCATAAGGACTCACAGACTTCAAATAAAGGTCAGAAGTTTCACAAATAAACCTCTTTTTCAACCAAGAAGTTCAACTGACTAATTGTGTGTATCAACTCATTTATGATTTGCAGGACAATGGGATGCCGTACCATCCACGCCGGAATCCCCGTGCTAAAAGTAAAAAAATGCAGAAGGCGCCGAAAAAATTCGCTCCCGTAGTATTCAGTGTTCGACCAGCAGCCAATCATAACGCACGTTCTAAAAATATCACCAAGGGACACAGTAATAAAAACAAAGATGCCAAAGGCAAGACACCTACGTTAGCTGCCGCCGAAGCCGCTGGTATTACCAGCATAGTGACAGGAGATGGAGACAAAGCCACATCACATGATGCGAATGACAGAGCAAACGCAAATGCCACAGATCGCGCAGCACAGAAGGGATCACGCACTGAAGAAAAGACTGAAGGTAGCGAAAGTGCTGAACAAGGGAAGAAGCGAGTACAGACGGAAGGTCAGGGCTCTGGCTCGGTGGCTAAGAAGGCCAAGACCGAAATCTCCTCGTCCAGTGCTCCCAGGTTCGTTTATATTAAGTGGGGGGTTTTTTTCTCAATGTCTGGTGGTACAGTGTGTATGCTGCAAATACTTAAAATAACAGTCTGGCGGTTTTGTATGTAGTGTGTGGCATGCGCTGGAGGTCTACATATGGCAAGCATGTATTGCCCGCTAAGCTTACTGTTGCGGTTTATTTTTGTACTTTGTTGATGGGAATATTTTCCGCTAAGCTTTTAGAAAGCAGTTGCGTTTGATCTTTAGATTTTATCGATATGGGAATGGCTTACGCGCAAGTAACCCCCATTGCTTCTGGTTTTTAGTTTGACTCGGTATGCGCCTTCATAGACTCTTTTATATCAGTTTTTTCGTTTCTGTACACTGAACACCTTTTCTCGGTTCCGGTGCTGGATTCCGCTATCTGATATACCGTCTATTTTGCCACGCAGAGGTCAAGAGCACATCTCCTCTCTCTTCTCATACAATCCCGAGATGCCCGAGAGCCTCAGCCAACACAACCAAGACGACACACCACTGGGTGAAGACGATGAGGACGTGACAGACTTACCTTCTTCACATGCCAACAACGTGTTCCACGATGCCAAAACCTTCGAAGCGCTTGGGGTGGGTTCGCGGTTGGTGCGGTGTATGAGTGAGCGCTTGGGGCTTTTGCAGCCCACAACGGTACAGTCGGCAGTTATTCCTCTGGCTCTGAGTGGCCGGGATGTGTTGGCCCAGTCGGAGACGGGTAGTGGTAAGACTATGGCATTCCTGTTACCTATTGTTGAGATACTCAGCTCGTTTGAGACGCGTGTACAGAGAAGCGATGGCATCCAGGCGCTGATTATATCACCTACGCGTGAGTTGTGCTTGCAGGTAGGTGCAGTTTACTTTTGTCATTCCAATGTATTCGAATACCTCAAATTTATATTCATGCCCCCGTCTATTTGTTATCAGGTGTTCGCTATTCGTGCAGGCACTGACCTCTGTACACACCTGCATGCAGTATATACAGCATAGTGTATAATGCCCATATAGGCTATGTGCAGGGGAATACTGTGCACAACGTATGCACAAATCATACTCACACCAAGCACACGTTCGCCACTACAGATTCTCGATGTGCTTGAGACACTCCTCCACCCTGTGCATTGGATTGTTCCGGGACATGTGATCGGAGGAGAAAAGAAGAAGTCAGAGAAGGCGCGAATTCGTAAAGGTATCAATGTGCTGGTAGCCACGCCCGGTCGATTGGTTGATCATCTCTCCACGACCTCTTCGCTCAACGTGTCAAGGTAAATTGTTTATCTTGTGGTAAAATAATAATACTGATTGTGCATACATGGATTTTAAGTGTATGTATACATGCTTACATCTACAGATGTTCCAAATTATTGAATGTACTGCTCTGTATTTGCAATCTATCTACAATTAGAGCTCAATCGCTAGTAACTGCTGCATAGTATCGATTGTTGTTATCAGTAGTGGCGAGTACTAACTTCTACCTGATTCTACAGGTGTCGTATGCTGGTGTTGGATGAGGCTGATCGTCTCATGGAACTTGGGTTTAAGAAGGACCTGGTGACTATCATCAATGCCCTTAACGGATACCACCCCAATTTCCTGGAAGCCGATAGCGTGGGTGCAGACAGGAATGCCGAGGGAATTCTCAAACCCAAGGTGGTCCGGGATAGATTTATCGCTGGGAAAACTATCCGACGCCAGAACGTGCTGGTCAGTGCTACGTTGAACTCCAACGTCCGCCTTCTCGCCGAGCTGGCGCTGGACAACCCTGCTCGTGTGGTGTTGCAGGGCGACCATGGCAGCGATACAGTGGCGCTCGCTGCGGCCGATGAGGAGACGAGTGCGAGCGAAGGTGTGCCTGTGGTCACGGAACAGATGGCTAAGGAGGCTCTGGAGACCATACCTGAGACGCTGAACGCAACGGCAGGTGATGAAGAGAACGATGCGAGCAACAGTGAGGATGAGCGCGTGGTGGACTTCATGTCGGATGACGAGGACGAGGAGAAGCAGGAAAGCTCGGTAGTCGAGGAGGCAGAGGCTAAGGGTGACGAACCCGTGGAGGTGGATGTGAAGGATGTGGATGAGATAGAAGAAGTGGCTGAAGCAGATGAGGGGCAAGGTATGGATCTGGACGGGGACATGGATACGACCGCACCCGCAAACATAGATACAGACACGGTAGAGGTAGAGCGGCCGTATGTATGGGGAGGACCTGAGGGTGAGAAAACAAGCGAGGGCGGCGAGAAGACAGAAGAAGCCGGCGATAAAATAGTCGACACGCCACAACCGGCCGACGCGGTTGTCCCTGCGCCATTTGTGCCGACCGGGGGTAACGCGGCAACACAGTTCAAAACGCCCGCGAAGCTGCACCAGAAGTACATTGCAGTGCCAAGCAAGCTACGGCTGGTGACGCTGGCGGCGCTGCTGCGAGGCGAGTGCACGGATGTGAAGGGGAATCCCACAAGCAAGGCCATTGTGTTCATGAGCACGTGCGACCTGGTGGACTTTGTGTACGAAGTGTTCCACGCCAGAAGCACGTGGGGCAACAAGGACAAGCAAGGTGATACGGATGCGGAGAGCCCGCTCTTTGGCCGTCTGCACTTTGTGCGGCTGCACGGTAATATGAAGCAGCAGGAACGCACACAGGCGTTCAAGAAGTTCAGCAAGGCTCCGACGGGGGTGATGATCTGCACGGATGTGGCTGCGCGAGGGTTGGATCTGCCGTTCGTGAAGTGGATTATCCAGTACACCATCCCCGCAGAGGTCTCCGACTATGTGCACCGTATCGGGCGTACGGCGCGTTTGGGCGAGAGCGGCAGTGCGGCTGTGTTTGTGACCCCTGGGGAGGCGGACTTTATCAAAGTGCTCGAGCAGCAAGGTATGAACGTGCATTCGATAGAGATGAACGATGTACTGGGTAGTCTTGAGAAGGTGACTACAGTTGCGTTCAGAGAGAAGGTCATCCGACAGAACGGGGGCAAACGTGGGAAGGCGAAGGAGCTCTCCAATGTGGTGCAGAGCAAGGCCACACTGCTGCAGATGGAGATCGAGGAGCAGGTCAAGGCTACCGAGTATGTGATACATATATATATATGTATATATATACATATATATATATTAATTTATTTATTTATTTATTTATTTATAGTAATATTATTGATGTTGATATTGATATTGATATTATTATCAATATCAATATTTACACAAATACATATGCGTGTGTGTGTGTAAATAGATTAATCTGAATGAGGATATGGTTGCGTATTTCACATATCTGAACTGTTGAATGTTTGTGAAGCTTTATCCTGGTATGTGCATTCTATCCAACGCTGTGAGCAAGGGCCGGCTATGTGGATATCTACCGTTTTAGGCGGGTGATGCTCCTGACGAATGCTCAATATTGTATCCAAATATGTGCGATTTATTTACCGCCTCCTTCACTCATCGTCTAAACGTCCATATCGACTTACTATACGCAGAGATATGCGCTGGTTGGCACGCAATGCGTTCCGCTCGTATCTACGTGGCTATATGACATACCCGAAGTCCATGAAGGCCTTTATGCACATCAAGAATCTGCACCAAGGGCATGTGGCCAAATCGTTTGGCATGCGTGAAGCACCCAGCGATGTTCTGAAATTCAATAAGCACAAACCGGGGGGGAAGAAAGGTATGTTTACATATTTATACGTTAACAGTTATACGTTTGATATTTACATACTGATGATGCCGTAAAAACTGGAGTGGCACGCAGATGTCTGTCAATCCATTGCAAACGGCCGGCGCCGCTGTGTTGATCTGTACGGTCTTTGTGATGATACTAGGGTTGTTATTTTCTTGGCTAAACTTCAATCTGATTCTGAGTCAAAACATTCTCTTTTGCTGGGTTGTGCGTTGAGCACGGGGATTCCAAGCTTATAGGTGCTATGCTTTCAAATATTTAAATTCATCGATCATATGTCCTCCCATAACCACCGAGAGTCTATATTTAAATATATATATATGTATCTATAGGTATTGTCTCATCGGTTGTATGTCCTTCTATTTTCAGAGAGTCAAAAAGACAAGCAAGACGCGCGGGAAAAGAAACAGCGCGAGAAGAACACCAAGACTGGCGGAGGCCCATCACAGAGCACGTACAAGCCTAGGAATATCGGAGACTTCAACTTCACGCCCGACGCTAACCCTAGCAAGGACTTCAAGGGCAACCCCAGCCACGCCAGTGGTATCAATAGGAGTAGTGGGAGTAGCAAAGGCAACTCGGTCAAAGGAAAGGATGCAGGGGATGGCAAAGGGAGTATGAAGGGGAAGGGCAAAGGCTCGGACAAGGCTGTACGCGCGGATAGAAATGTGGGTGGCCAGAATAACAAGAGCAGTCGAGGCGAGACAACCGTCAAGAACTATGCGCGTGCGTCAGGCTACCAATCACGCGTGCCCCTGGGCATGAACGGCATTGACCGCAGCAAGTACTCGCGGGCGCCTATCGGTGGATGAGCAGTGGTCAATACGACTACCTTCGGATTGATATATCCGGGTACAAGGAGTGTTCGTAGGTCCATCACCAGGTTAGTGGTGATATAAGCCAGGGGTAACGCGTGTTTAAGTTTAAGGCCAGGCTTCTCGATCTCGGGAAAGCTGAGTGCGGCATAGAAGGCGGTCGATGAGTCCTAAGGAACTTTGAGCGCTACTAGCATGCCTTAGGTATTACAGTTGCCTGAAGGAAAGATCAAATAAACTAGTACATATATATATACGTGGTCTATGTGAAGCAACTGCGTGTCACATCGCGGTTTGTCTCAAAACTCACACCTTCGTCCGTGAATGGTTCCTGTTCAGCTTTTAAACTGCTATTGTTTGATCTAGTTGCAACGTGATGAATTTTAATCCGGTGCTTTCTTTTAATTGGCCCGGACATCCGGTCTGAGCATATATGAGGGAAAATGGCCATATGAGGCCATTTTCCCTCCTATATGCTCAGACCGGATGTATATACAAATATATAAATAGATATATATATATATATATGTGTGTGTGTGTGTATGTATGTTTGTATGTTTGTATGTATGTATGTATGTATGTTTGTATGTGTGTATTATATAT